AACGTAAGGCGTTCCCAGCGCTGTTTAAACTGTTCTTTTACCTTGGATGCCTGTAGGAGTTCAAAACTACATGTGTAGCCATGGGAAGTTTTGCTCTGAAGTGAGCTCGAGGACCTGAAGTCGCTACACCCTGCAGAGAGTCTCCTCTTACCCATGTTCATGAAGAGGGCAGTGAGATTCCTAATGCACACCGGCCGAGCAGAGGCCCAGTTGTTTGCTGCCTCCGTTCTCCACCCCCCGACGATCATGTCCCGTCCCTGCTACCCCCGTGCGGTTTGCTGTGAGCTAAACTGACTCCTGCCCAGCCCAGCCCAGCCCAGCCTGGTTGTTGTTACGGACTGGATTTCTGGCCCACACATTTCTACCAAAAAGAGTCAGGAAAATGGTCAGAAAAATCTGGGATACGGTTTGGTAAGGACAAGATCAAAGAACTATACTTAGGCAGGAATGGTCAACTGTACAATTACCAAAAAAAATGAAGCTTCAAACATGTAAAAAGCTACTGGAAAGCAGAAGAGAAGCACCTGTCCTCCATGCTTCTCACAGATGGAACTGATGCAACTGTGGTCAGGTTAGACACTGGAAAGTTCTCTGACTACAAGGCTAATGAACCTTGGCACAGGCCTTTTTATCTGAGAAACTCGCAGTGAAGGGAGACACCATCTCCAGGTTTGGGTAATCCCGCATTTTGACGGGTGGTGGATCCCAACAGTAGTTACCAGCAGAGAGGAGTAGTGGTCTCTGGGAACTGCTCTGAGCCATCCTGGGAAGAGCACTGAGAAAAATGAGCGTGTTGTCCGGTGTCTGTTTGCTCTCGAGGAATCTGTGCTCCTCCTGAAAACTGGTGAAGCTCCAAAGTTGAGAAAAATCACTTGAGTAGACCAACCTTTCCAGCTGTATTTGTACACAGGATGTTCAGTCTGTCTGATCTGATGTTGTGTTCATTTGCTTTGAAATGCGTGGTTGGTATAAAACCATTGAAAACCTGATCATTTTCTAACTGTTACCTGGGTTCTCTTGTCTGGTGGTTGTGATACATGAGGTTAGAAACAGTATTTTTATTAGGATGTACAAGTAGAACTAATTTAAATAGAGGATTACAGCACTACAGTGTTCTGTGACCTCAGAGTTAATCATAGTTTTCTTAGTTCATTGCAAAAGGAAAGAATCCAACATACGAACACGAATTGCTAATGCAGGGAGTTCGATCGTGAACTTCTTACATGTTTACTGTTATCCAAATACGAGCTGATAACTAATCCTCTGCAGTGTTTTTGGGACCAGTGCTTATCTTAGACTTTGTACTTTTTCCTGATCCCATGGAATGCCTGAAATGATTAGTAATCATTAATATCCAGGAAGAATTAAGCACTTTTGCGGGTTTTTAAATCTAGATTTATCAGACCACTTAACTTAAACAACACGTGGTGTATCTTTTAGCTTTAATAAAAAGTATAGCCGTTTAATTTGCTAGGTAGGAAACGGGAAGTGAGGGAGCATGTGCTTTAATAAGCCTGGCTGCTTCCACTGGGAGTCCACCTGAGCTGCTTCTACAGGTTTTTTCCAAAGTCCCAGGTTTGCTGATGTTCTGACCTATGATTCTGATTTACTTATTTAATATTTAATACAAGTTCTTTGAGAATCCTGATTTTATTCAGCTATGTTCTTCTTCAAAGTATGACTGCTCTCTGCGAGAAGTGAGCAGTTAATTATTAAGTACGCTGGACACATCTGTGAGATGATCCTTTTCTACAACGCTCACCTAAACAGACATCCCTGTTTCAGAGGGGAAAGCTGAGGCAAAGAGGGAAAAGGAAGTGTCGTGTAAACAGGAGGAACAGGAGCTGGAAGGCTGCTGGTAAGCTGCTGGGGGAGGTATGGCCGGCCACCTTCAGAGAGCACTTGCTGGTACCTGGCGTGGGGCTGCCAAGGCGACGGCGACCCGGGGCTGAGCTGTTGAGCGCTCGCAGCCCGCCTGCACTGGTATGGGCTCTCCTGGTGCTGCCAAGAAATACGAAGCCTTTGGCTGTGCCACGGGCCCGAAAGGAGCCCTAACCACCGGTCTCTGTGTCGGCAGGGGAAATCTCACCTGTTTTTCATTTTGGTTTGTCTGTTCACTAGTGCTGTGATGGAATTACTTCTCATCCACACCCCAGTGCAGCGTGGGGTGACCGTGCTGCCCACCACTCACTCACAGGACACAGCTAAATGCTGTAGTTCCCCATGCGAAGGGGTCGGAAAAGGAATTCAGAAGTCCAGACAGATGACAGCTGTAGCTCTTCCCTTGTCCACTGACGTAGTCGCTCCACCCTTGGTGAAGCCATGCTGTCTCCAATCTCCTCCCTGTCCTCCAAGAGCCTCAGCTCCTAGGAGGATCTGTTCCATGGCCCTCCCAGGCACAGAGGTTATGCTGACGGGTATCTCTGACCAGGCCAGGTTGCTCAAAGCCCCAGCCTGGCCTTGAATGTGCTCCATTGTCCCCCCCCCTCATGACCAGAGGCAGCTCCCTCAGCCTGCCCTTGGGTGCCGGGTGCCCCAGCCTCTCACCCTCTTGAAGGCCTTGGGCTGGGCCCATCCCCACACACATCCCTGTCTTTCCTGGCCTGGGGAGACCAGGAGGGGACAGAGGAGTCCCAGTGCAGCCAGCAAAGTACCAAATGGGAGGAGGAAAGCAGTTTTACTGTTATTTTCTTGTTTATTGTTTTGGGGTTTTTAAATTGTTTTCTGCCCAAGCTTGCAAAGAACTCCTCACGAAGCAGCTAGAAGGGACCTTCATGCTGAAGGCCAGCACTTCCTTGGGGCAGAACTGCAGTCCTCTGCTTCTCCAAAGGAACAGCTGGCCCTCTAACTTCTTTGCTGAGCTGTTGCTGCTCTTGGTGCACAGCAGCAGAGGGTCTGCCTTCATCGTCAGCCACCACCAGGCAACCTTCTTGTCCTCAGACTGAAGAAACCCCTCCTCCAGGTCCCTCGGTGGCCCTCTCGGGGACAACTCCTGTCCCCCCAGGGCAGCAGCCTGGCGGAAGCCAGGTCGTTGTAGACCCTTTTCATGGGGCTCAGAGCAAAGGAGATGATGGCACCCCTTCAGGAGGGGATGAGGATGGGAAAAAAGGGCTCACACCATCCGTGGCAATCAACAAAATAATTGTTGATGCTGGAGATGGGACAGGTGAGCCCGCAGGATGGGCGGGCATGGGGGCTGGGCCTCCCAACTAGTACCGGATACGGAGGCTAGGCCAATGGTAGGGCTCTGGCCAGGCGCTCCAGCGACACCGTGTTGATGGTGTTATGGAGGGGAGCCTTGGCACGATGTGGTGCCAGGGGAGCCATGCTGGAGGTGGATCCACTTCCATCGGGTCTTCGTGGTCTTCTGGTGGACCCACCTCCATGGGCTCCACACCATCAGCCACATAAGCAATGGCCATCGCTACCATCCAGCTGATGGTGTCCCCCCTTTGATGCTGCTTCCTCTTTCTGTGTCTCTCCTGCAGCCACCTCTAGTTCTTCCCATGCAGACATGGGCAGCCACTCGCCTTGCTGCTGTGGGACCCCTTCCTTCAATCATCCTTGGAAGCTGAGGGTCTCGAAGCTCAGCGAACTGTGGGCCAGGTTCCAGGGTCCCTGTATTTATGGGGCCTGGCACAAGCAGCAGAGGTAGCTCGTGACATCAGGAAGCCACTGTGATGAGGGTGTATGTGGCCCAATATGGTTGTTCTGGGAGCTGGAGGGACTGTGGCCTGAAAGATGGTGTCATGTGGGAGAAAGAAGAGGACCGGGGGTGCTAACTCTTCCTGGGGATCACTCCCCTGTGCTCTTCTGCTGCTCCTTACGCATAGGAACTGCCCTCCACCTCCCGCTGTATGTCTGGGCTCCAGCCCCCTCCTCACCCCATTCCTGGGTTCCACTGGACAAGAGGGTGGCAAGGGTGTTGCAGGAGGGTCCTCAGTGACCCCCTCACTGACCCAGCTCCCTGCAAGTGGCACGGTCCCCCACACCCAACAGTGGCTGGGAGGGGCGAAGCACCCAGACATCCTGCTGGCAGGACAGGGAGGCACAGCCGGCCTGCGCAAGGTCTCCCAGCACTCCACAGGAGGACTGCTGATTGCCAAGGGTAGTGCAGGCCCTTCTTCCCCCTCCCCGGCCCCTGGAGGCAGTGGGGTTGTTTTCCATCTCAGGTTGACCCTTGCTCTCTTCTCTACTGTTGAGGAGAAACCTTCTTACTGCCTTTTAATCCCCAGGGATATTTTTTAGTGCTCTAACACAGAGTATGGTCCAGTTCTTGCAGTCATCTGGGAGTTTCACCAAGATGTTTCACCACGGCTATGGCAGACACAAAGAACAACTCGTAAAGCTTTTTCCTAGAACACACCACAGATTAGGCGACTGGTCCTGCAGCATGGAATAAGCTGGGCAATAGGCAGTGGGTTGGGGTAGCATATGCATTTTGTAGATGCAGTGACAACAGTTTCCTGGGTGTACAGCAGCAATGACACGGTGAGGAGTCACGTCTGTGACTACGGTATGTTCAGCTGGTCGGTTAACATTCAGGTAAGGGAAGGAAGGCATGCTTTCTCCTCCAGCTTCCTGCTACTTTCATTAATATATGGATTTGGTTAGTTTTTGTAACTAGTAGCACACTAACTTCTGTCAGACGAGACATTGGGTTAACTCTGAAATGACAAAGGGCAAAACCAAGGACTGTTTGTTCAGAATCAGAAAGGAAAGAATCATAAATATGTGAACTCAATAATTGCTCCAAGATACCTGTCTCCAAAAAGCAAGGACAAAGCGCTGTTGGCAAGGCAGTGGTAAGCCATGGCAAGACTGCATGAAAGAGGACGTTGGCTTCCAGTTCAGTTATGCTGTGATGGATTGTTACAACAGGAATGAAATTGGTACAGGGAGATAAGCACAGAAAAGTCTTCATTGGGAACAAAACCCACACAAATGACAGTTTATGACCTCTACCTTCCCTGTCTAGATAACATCCATGCTTGTCCCTATCACTCAAGTCCCTTCTTGTTGCGCTTTCTCAGTGTGCCTGCTTCAGCTGAATCACTGTCTTTCTTCTTCTTCAGTGCTGCATTTTCATTTTCAGACTCCAGAGTAGACAGGTCCTCTTGGCTCGGCTCTTCCGCTTCGCTGCAGCTCTCAGAGTGGAATCCAGCATTCTCCGCTATGACAGCAGGATCATCGTCCTTGCAACAACAGCAGCACTCCTCAATGCTCTGGCTGTGATGAAGGTCCCTCTCCTCTTCCCTGATGCCAGTAACCTCAGCCTTTTTCGGTGTTAAATCATGACTGTCCCTTTCCATGGTGAGATCAGCCAGCAGGGTTTCATTGCACAGATGCTCCTCATCTTCCATGCCCTCCAATCTTTCCGCCAGCTCTTCTGCAGAGGGCTGGCTCAGGTCAGGATAATCTACAAGGATTGTGTCCTGTTTGCGCTTGTAGCAATCGGAATTATCATAGACAGGATAGGTCTCTTCTGGGTAACCTAGGAAGAAAGTGATATGCAGCCTGGAGTGTTATCAGCATTTAAAAATAGTACTAACTTCAGTGATGGATGCACAAGTTTGTTGGAACAGTTGTTTTTAGCACTGACAGGATAAGTGTCATCTATGTAATGTCATGTCTACGTCACAGGATTACATCCATAGCAATAATGTGCAAAACATGGCTTCTTGGGAGATGATGAGAAAACTCCACTTATTTTTAGGGAGCCAGGATATCAACCCTGACTTCCTGGAGTGGATACCTGAGTTTTGCTGAAAGCTATGGCTGCTAACAGATGAAAATTGCATGTCTTGTATCTTTAAATAGATCAATTTTTTGTTTGTTTCTGTCTACAGATTGACAGACTGGTGTTTTGACAACTTTTGCTCTAAACAGCATTATTTATTAAGTTCAAAAACCAGATATAGTCAATGACTTTGTACATTTCATTTTAGAAAATGCATCGTGAACTTAAGAAAACAGAGCTCAAGGCCACTGTTTCTGCTTTATGTTTGGATCATTTTTGAAAGCTTCTTAAAGAGCAAGGAATTAAGTCTGCACTGAAAATTCTGATAGTGAGCAGCTCAACTAGGATGTCTGGAAAACACATTTATGTACCAAGTAAACACCCAGGAGGGAAAGGACATTAAAATAAAGAATTTTTAAAAGACAGACTTGCTGGTGGTGACTTTTACAACATTGGAGCAAAAAAAGAATGATTAATCAAAAGTAAAAATTGTAAGTTAGCCAAAACATATTTATTGTGATTTCCAAGGGTTTTATGATTTTGTATGAAATCTAGACTAGCAAAGAAGGGAATCATAGAATCACTGGGTTGG